AATATGGAGGGCTGGAGAGAGGGCTCAGTGGTTAAGAGAACTTACTGCTCTTGCAGAGAACTTGGGTTCAGTTCCCAGCACCCACTGGGTGACTCACAACTTCCTGTAACTTCAGGGTTTAGATGCCCTCTTATGGCCTCCAAGGGCATCATACACACATGATATTATGTGCACACACACACACACATATGCAGCACAACATTCATATGCATAAAATAAGAAGAAATTTTTTAAAAATTTAGAAAGCTGGAGTAAGGGAGAAAAGCCCAAATTTCCAAGCATGTACATTTAAAGATGGTGGTTGACTTTACAAAGAGCAAACAGTGGTGTGTGGGGCTCAGTAAACTGTAACTGGGATGAGCTTCTCTTCAGCCCTTGGATCGGAGAGACTGTGCCTGCTCCTCTCCCACTTCCATGAACTTGGAGCATTAATTCTGATCAAACACACAGTCCCAGAGTGAGGCTGTAGAAACAAGTATCCACCGCTTTCCTGAGAAACTTCCCCTTCTGTCCAACAGTGTGCACTCTTTCATCCTTTCTGTGCTAGATAAGAAGTCAGTTTGGAGTTTTACATGACAGCTGTTTTTTCTAGTTTTGGGAGAAAGTAGAAAGTTTGGTGGCCAACTTGGTATGACACAGGCACATAACTTAATTCTGGACTTAGTTTCAGGACCCATCTATAGAGCTACTAAAACATTTTGCACCTCTTCCTCCACAGTAGAGAAGCAGTAGGAACATTCCTCTCTCCCATTTTCTCTCTCGCTTGAATAGCACCTTGAGTTCTGAGCTGGGGGTGAGGCTAGTTCTAGTCTGGAGTCTGGAGACGTAGGGTCTCATGTCTCTTTCTTCATGTCAGAAAATTTTGGAAAGCTGATAACCTTCTCAAAATAAGAACATAGGGAAAGCCTTGAAATCCCTTGCCTAGAGGTTTCTAATTGACGATTCTAACACCCACTGGCCGCCATTCATTTGTCTAACTAAAGCAACCACCCCGAAATGTCTCTAGAACTCAGCACAGGGTTTGTGTGGAGGTTGTATATGTGTCCAGTGTGTGGCCCACAAGACACATGTGCCCCAGGCCCAACACAAACAGCCACAACATATATATATATAGAGGACCTAGTGCAGACCCATCCCGGCTCCATAGTTGCTGTTGCCTCTTTGAGCCCCTGTGAGCCCTGCAGTTGATTCTGTGGGACCGTGCTCTCCTGGTGTCATCGACTTCTCTGGCTCCCACAATCCTTCCTCTCTTCCGCAACTTTCCTCCAGCAACCCAAGAGTGGATCTTGTAGACCACAATATCATGTTAACAATGCCAAAGACTGGAGCTGCCTACTGTAGGCGAACTCAGACACAGGATGGACTAATGACTAGTATCTGCAGTGTGTGGATATATGAACCACACAAGCCGCCCCAGCCTCGCCCAGGCAGATGCTCCAGGGCAGCTGCCAGCTGAGTTGCAGGCCATGGAATGTGCTGACCTTCCTTCCTCGGGAAGATGGCACCATGAGGAATGTTATTATTAGCAGGAGAGCATTTGTGCTGATCTGTCAACACTCCCTCATTCAGACTAAGACTGGGCACATTCAGGATGGTATGACCACGGACAATACCCCCTCATTCAGGGTCTTTATGGAACAATGACAAACCCGCAGTGTCACACAGCTGACACGTTTTTGAAATCTCTTCTTTTGGTGATGGTCACGCCATACTTGCCCAATTTGCTTCTTGGCTCTCTGGCAATAGTTTCCTTTTCTGGTTCTTTCCTCCATTGGTTTTATTTTCCAGTCAGGGTCTCGTGTTTTCTAGCATGGCCTTGAACTCACCATCCTCTTGCTCTAGGCTCCCCAGTGCTTGGATTTATAGGCAAGTATTCCATCCCCAGATATCCTGTCTTTAAATAGATGATTCCTCAAAACTTAGTCCTAGATTTTAAAAAAAAAATCCCTTCTCCCTTCTGCCTTTCTTTCTTCTCTTGTTTTCCTTTTTTCTACTTTTATTGACTCTCATAGTTTCAATTATCACCTAGTTTGCAAGATCAATCTTAAGTTTTTGTTTTTGTTTTTCTTTTTAGGCAATGTCTCTGTGTAGCCTTGGCTTGCCTGGAGCTCAGAGAGATCCTCCTGTCACTGGGTTCTGAGTGCTGGGATTAAAGGCATGCCACTATGCCTGGCCTTGTTTCTACTTCAAGTCCATACTTGTCTCTTGGACTCTCAGTGATGTGTTCCACAACCTGACCCAACCCGAGCGCTCAGAACAGAGCGGGTCCCCTTCTCCAGGGTCACACACATTCTTCCTAGGTGGTCCTCATCTCAGTAGTTTCACCGCACCCTGCCTAATTCCTTCATTCAGTCACCCACTCTCCCACACTGCAGTATTCAGATAGGTCAGTTCCTGTCACTTCCTTGTTTATTGTTTTCTCAGGTTTCCCCCTGAGCCTGATCCTCCGGTCTCTCTTCCATTGGCTGCACCAGACTCAGAACCAATCCCGGCAAAAATTCTTGCATCTCCTCAAAGTCCTAGCAAAGCCTTTCCAGGCTTCTCTTCCTTCTCTGCTTCCTGCTGATGTACATTTTCATCTGTATATTCTTGTTTTAAAAGATCTTGTCATCTCTTTGGAAGTAGTTATAGGTTTGTATGAAATGACAGTGATCCCAGGTACCTTTTCCCCCAGGGGTGAGCATCTTAGAAACTCACATACAATAGCAAAGCTACTGCAACCCTAGACCCTTTGTGGGTTTTGTTGCTTCATGGGCTCGTGTACACAGCCATATTCGTGAATGTTTGATGTGTGCCTCTGCCTAGTTCTGTGATGTCTTATCATATATGTAATCCCCAGGATCCAAAGCTGTGTCTCCAGCCTCAGGATCCTCTACACCTAAGAATGCTTCTTAAAAAACACAGTCATCCGCCTTCAGTTCTTCTTCACTGACTTTATAGGCCCAAATGCTTAAATGAGGGCTGTAAGTGCCTATTTAGTCTGGCTTCATTGTCTCCTGGGTGGCCTCTTGCCCCGTCATTTTGCAAAGAAGCCTACACTCATGTTTACGGGTCTTTCTCTTCCTTCTGGTTTGCAAAGCTCTTGGCTGCTCAGAGCCTGCACATGCAGGTCCCTTTACCTGGCATCCCCTCTCCTTCCAGTTAACTTTTGATCTGCCCAGTACTGACTTAAGCCCCTTTCCCTAAAGGGTTTCCTTGACCGCTCTGGCTAGGAGCTCTCATTGGTTTCCATCGCCAACTCTGCCTTTGCTCTATGGTGTTAGTTACATAATAGTGATTAAATAGTTGTGCAGGGGGTTTTAGTAATTTGAGGTCTCTTTGGAGGGCTTAAGAGTGTCTTGCTCATGGTGTATCTTTTCTGTCTAGCATAACAGCCAGCTTAGCAGCTGCTAGTGAAACAGTTGCTGAGTTGGTGAGCTCTTCTTAGTGGAAACTGGCTTTTGACAGCTGGGGTATGGCCCAAGACCAGGGAACTGGACAAAATCACTCTTGCCTAGGTGGGTGTACGTCCCATGATCTCGGCTCCATCCTTTCCAACAATGTCCTGTCAGAGAACCTGGGCACCTGTAGCCCACACTGCTGAGTCCACAGCTGAAAATGTCCCCACTATGCCCCTTCTGTTTTCACTCTAAGAGATTAGCGTAGGAAACAGCTTGGCTAGGATCCTCCTCAGATTGCACTTTGGGATGTTTTCTGGAGCACCAGCGGGCTATTCATGCAGGGTTTTAATTTAAGTCTTCTTTCTGGCCTCTTCTCTTTCCCCGTCATCCCACCAGGTTATTTACCCCTACGTCTAACACTCACAGAAACTTCAGAGTGGTTTATATCGGGGGAGCCCCAAACCTGGTGGGTCCTGATGCTGACGGACCAGCCAGTGTTTTACCCAAATGAGCAGGGTCCAATGGGCTCTCTGAAGATTCCAGAGGGAGACATGGGGTTCCTGCTGGGATGTGGCTCTGCTGGGGGCTAGGGACAGCACTTAGAAGTCTGTCTGTGAGCAACTTGGTCAGTGATGCTAACTCTAATCAGTGCCCCCTGTTTATAGTATCCTTTAAAGAATAAAGGGGCAAACATTCGGTGCAGTGGGAGCTCTGGAGAAGGATGGGGCCTGGGCTGTGCCAAGCTGCTGGTTCTTTCTAGCAGAGGCAGTGGTGGGATTCGCTCGTCCAGGTCACAGTGCTGGGAAACCTAGCAAGTTGTAGCTCCCAGTCGTTCACTCTCGGCCTTGCTCTGTAGACTCAGTGGGGGCTCATGCAGTCCTGCTTGGCAGGTCAAGCTTCAGGGATTTCTTCAGGGCTGTGTGATCTATGGTCACAGCTTAAAAGTCCCTCTCCCGACCTGGCTATAGGTTTAGCTAACAAGACACTTGTAGGATAGGCCTGGTCCTTTGCTGGGCTTGTCACTCCCTTGACTTACCTGCCAGACCCCTTTCTTATGTTCCTGCGACTGCTAAGCATTTGGATTTTTGTTCATCTCCACTGTGGGTCTGGAAGGAACCACAAAAATACCATCCATCACCCCTAAGCACCATCTCCGAAAACCTTAAGAGATTCCTGACCTTCTCGGGCAGTGTCAATAGGAGGTCCCAGCTCCAAGCAGCTCTGAGGAGTTTTCCTATCCCAGCTTCATCTGGGCGTGGTGTGATGCTGATGTTCCCCCCCCCTGGGCTGCCTTGGGCTGTTTAGTCCTCTCTGGTCACAGCTTTCTACTCTACTTGTTACACTTCCGGGGGACATGGCTCTTGGGGTAAGAGGAACTGGTTGGTAGTTAGTAAGAAGGCGAATGCCCACTTCTCCGTTCGGCCTCCACCTGGCGTGACTGGAGGCGGTGGTGTAAGGACTGTGGATAGAGCCTCATTCAGACTCCTGGTCTGTTTCCCGGCCTGTGCTTCCTCTGATTTCCTCTATGTTCCCTCCGAGGAGATGTGTCTTGAATTAGTAGCGTTGGGGGTACAGGTCACACTCTTTTGTCTTAATACTGTTGCCTCTGGCTTCTTCCAGGTCACCCAACTTGCCTGCAGTTCACTCTGAATATGACTGAGGCGGTCAAGACCTACAAGTGGCAATGCATAGAATGCAAATCCTGCATCCTGTGCGGGACTTCGGAGAACGATGTGAGTTTGGGCGATTTTGTGGCAAGAAGAGGCAGAAGGTGGAAAGGAGACAGAACTCCAGGCCCTGGGTTCATGGGGAAAATGGCCTTTTTAGCCTCTACTGGGACCCTTGTACTTTTGCCTTGGGTCCCTTATGCCTTCAGGGAATGATACCAGAGGTGGCCATCAGGGGATGTCTTCTTGGTCATTGTCCTTAGCAGCCTGGCTGCTTAGAGCCTCTGCTCTCCAGAGTTTAGCGACTGTGGCGGTGGTCAGTGCTCCAGGTGGGATGCATGTGGCTGTTTTCCACTACAGTCTAGTGCATGATCTCATCTGGATGACATAGTAAACACAAGAAATGCAGAATACTCAACAACTTTTTTTTTTAATATTTATTTATTTATTTATTTATTTATTTATTTATTTATTTATTATGTATACAATATTCTGTCTGTGTGTATGTCTGCAGGCCAGAAGAGGGCACCAGATCTTATTACAGATGGTTGTGAGCCACCATGTGGTTGACTGGGAATTGAACTCAGGACCTTTGGAAGAGCAGGCAATGCTCTTAACCACTGAGCCATCTCTCCAGCCCCAACAACTTTTTTTTTATGGGCCATCTCAAACATATACAAAGGCCGAGAGAATAATGAGCTCATATACTCCATCCCAGCTCCAACAATGGCCATTGTGTCCAATTTTATTTCATAAGTACTATTATCTTATCCTATATGTATGCGTTGTATGTACCTGTTCATGTAGTGTGTGTGCACATGTGTTTGTACATGTGGAGTCTGGAGTTCTACATTGTCTATCTTCCTCCATCACTCCCTATCTTAATTTTTAAGACTGATAACTCACTGATCCAAAAACTCACCAGTTTGGCTAGCTTGGGTGGCCAATGGACCCTTTTTTATCTCCAGACACTGCTCTCCCACTCAAAGCTGGGGTATCACCTTTTTTAAAAAAAGATTTATTTATTTATTGTGTACACAGTGTCCAGCCTCCTTGTATGCCTGCAGGCCAGAAGAGGGCACCAGATCTCATTACAGATGGTTGTGAGCCACCATCTGGTTGTTGGGAATTGAACTCAGGACCTCCGGAAGATCAGCCAGTGCTCTTAACCTCTGAGCCATCTCTCCAGCCCCTGGGGTATCACTTTTACACAGTGCTGGCATCCTGGAATCAGATCTTCATGTTTGTGCAGCAGACATCTTACCAACAGAGCCATCTTCCTAGCCCCTACTTTTCAATCCTAGTCATCATATAATGTCACTGGTAAATATCTCACCTGCACCTTTAAAAGGACAATAGCCGCCTTTTAAGTGAAAATAACCAGCATTTTTCTGTAGCTTTAAGTAATGAACATTTCTACTCACTCAGCTGTCCCTTAAATGCATCGGCTGCAGTTGAGATCCAAATGAGGTCTGTGCATTGCAACTAGTTAATGCATCTTGAAGTTTCTTTTACCATCTGCAAATAAGACATAGATGTTCCCCCCACCTTACGAATCAGCTGTTCAACGGAGCTCCCAGGCTTTCATTTGCCTAAACACATCCTCATGGGGTTGACAGTCCCTCTGCCTTGATCCAGAGTCTCTCTGTCTCTTTCTTTACCATCTTCCTCAGTTCTCTGTATCTGTCTGTCTCTTTTCTGGAAGACTACCTAACAGACATTGCTACACACTTTTGATGGAGTCTGTTGTCTTTGGTGTCTCTTTTTGTGATGGTACCTCTATTGATGGCATTGAGTAAGATCATTTCATTAGAGGCTAAAACTAGGCATTTTCTTATTTGAATTTGGGTTTCTTTTGTTTATTAACTGGGGTAATTCCATAGTAAGACACTTACCCATGCTGTCCTTTAGTACTATATATAAAAGGCAGCCTATGTGCTTGCCTTTTTCCCTTATCAGTGTGTAAGATAATATGATAGTTAAGCTATCTATTCATGGGCCTGGGGAGATGGCTCCATGGGTACGAGCAGGGACTGCTATTTCAGAGAGCTCGAGTTCAGTTCCCAGCACCCACATCAGGTAACTCACCACTGCCTATAAGGCCAGCTCCGTGGTAACACTCTCTTCTGGGCTAAGGGGACCTCCACTGACAAATACACACCTGATCCCAGATGCACATACATATGCATAATTAAAAATAAAACAAATCTTAACAAAATATCATCTAGTCATGAAAATAAAAGACACTCAATTAAAACATGAATTATAAGATCGCTTCTAAACACAAGAAAATGTTTGTATTTTCAAATTGAGCCCATATCATGTTTAATGAGAGAATAGTTGATATATTTCCACCAACATTAGGAACTTGGTGTGGGAAGGATGCTCCACATGCTGCTAGCGTTCAGTATTTTTGTAGAGATACTAGTTAGTACCGTTTGACAAGAGAAGTAGATTAGAGGCACAAGGACAGATGACGACACCAGTTGAGCATTGTTAATCCACAGAGGCCCTGCAGAACCCAGAGCTTTACAAATACCACTATGATGCCAGAGCTGGAAAATTCTACTGCACCAAAACTTTATCTCATGCATAAAATCATTAAAAAGTATCGCATAAGACCTCCTTTAGGATATGTGTATGAAGCCTATATGAAACACATGGATTTTGCCTTTCTTCTTGGATTTCAACTCAAAGATGCCTCATTATATACACACAAATTGGAGACACTTCTAGTTTCAAGCACTTCGAGTACAGGATATTTAACCTGTATTATGACACTATTTTCACAAGATGTGACAGTATGTCTGGGAAACCATAGAGACCCAGTGATAGGGCTAACTTGAGTATGCAAAGTGAAAACGAGGAGCTGGAGATTGGCTCAGTGGTTAAGCGTTTACACTGCTCTCGCAGAGGATCTGAGTTCTGTTCTGAGCATCTATTCCAGGGGCCTCACTGCTGTCTTTGGACTCCAGCTCCAAAGGATCAGACACCTCTGGCCTCTGCCAGTAGCTGCACTCATGTGTACATACCCACATGTAGACAGATAGACACACAATTAAAAATAGATCTTACAAAAGTAAAAACTAACCAATTAGTAAACATTGCTTTATTTACAGTACACCAAGAAGCCATATTTACAAATATGCTTAACAGAAGGCACACAAAGTCTATATGAACAAAAAAAAATTGTATTTGAAAACATAAAGGTCTGGTAGAACGATGTCCTCTGCTATTGGAGAAAAAGACTTAACACTGCAGAGACATCAGTTCAGCCCATGTTAATTTGCAAATGGACACCAGGAGCAATAACAACATCAACAAGCCTCCTTTGTGGAGTTAGACAGGCTGATGCTTATGTTTCTGCAGAAGAAGAAGTGGGTTTGGATAGCAGAGGAAGGACTGGCGTGGTATCTCTGTTGTAGAGCACTTTCTAGTTTGCCCAAATCCCTGGGTTCAATCCTCAACACAGTAGAAACCAGGCAGAGTAGTGTAGGCCTGTGATCCCAACATTTGGGGGATGGGGTGGGTAGAAGCAGGAGGAGCAGACATTCAATATCATCCCTGCCTACTTACTGGGTGAGCTTTGGGCCAACCTGGGCTACATAAAACCCAGGCTCAAAAAAGAAAATGGCCAGGGAAATTCTGATAAACTGTGCTGGAAACAGGGACTAGCAGACATTAGATCTTTCAGGGAGCCCCCAGAGTGGAATGGTGTGGTAGTAATGTGTGAGCGGACAAATAGACCAGCTGGGAGAGAATAGAAAGCCTATGAATAGCCCCACCCACATACGGGATAGAGTATAGGATAAAGGTTGCATCTAAAATTACGGTGTAAAAGATAGACTTTTTAATGAATGACGCTGGGACAATAGGGGAGTCGTTTGGGAGAAGACAAAATTAGTTTCGTATCTCACACCCAGACATAAGAACAATCTCCAAATAGACAGGGAATTTAAATGTCAAAACTCAGACCAGACCAGCACCAGATTCCTCTTTCTCTTCAACTCCAGGAAAAGTTTTTCCAGTTGATTCAAAATAGAGAAACAATAAAATGAAATATTGAAAAATTAGACTATGGAAATTTGCATAGTCAAAAACCACGAGTCAGTCAAAGGATGACTGACAAGCTGGGAGAACCTGTAGCAGGTGCAGGTGAAGTTCCAACGAACCCAGGATGTAAAGAACTCTGATAAATGAGAGCTATAAAACCAGGAACTTGGTAGACAAGGAGAAGCAGACATGAATGATGATTCATAAACAATATAAAAATGACCTTTAAACATTGAAATAAATACTCAAACACACCCACAATGAAAGAAACTCAAAGCAAAACCAAGATCCCGTTTCTCGCCTATCTGATGGGCAAAATTTTTTCAACTCTAACAATATATGAAAAAATATAGAAAAACTATAGAAAAAAATAGTTCCTACATCTAGTATTAGAGGGAATGCAAAGTGGCATGGTCCTTCTGGGGAGGGGCATTTGGTGATCTCTAACAAAACTATGACACACTTAACTTTTCACTGGGCCATCCCATCTGTGGGAGTCTACACTGAAGGATACATCCTACTACAGAAGTATATGTCTGTGAGATGGTTTATTAATTAAAATATCAGAAATAACCTCAATGTGCGTGCATAGACAAATGATCAAATAGACATCGGCACAGCTGTGCAGCGGAGCTGTATAGAGGATGGGGAGGATATCTGTGCATGGATGTGCAATAATTTCCATGATACATGGACAAAACCAAAGTTGATTTTGCTATCTATTGATGGTAGGCTGCGTTTATTGGAAGGAAAGGGCTATATAAGGAACTACACATACATCTGTGTACTTATACAAAAGAATAAACAAGGAGGTAACGGGAGTGGATATCTTCAGGAGTGGATGGGAATGGGGAGGAGAAATACAGTGATGTGGGAGTGAGTGGGGATAAGGGAGGACCAACATGACCTTGGGGATACTTGGAAAGCTTGAATCAAAAGTAAGTTTCAGAGACAGATACATACTTAATGCTAACCAGGAGGCTAGAGATGCTAAAATGGAGCAAACAGAAAGCAATGAATCTATCTATACAACAAGCAGATAGCAGAACCAGACTGAGGAGCTGGAGAAGAACCAGCCTAAGTAGTTTTAGAAAATGGTGTTTTGACTGTGTGCTGCAAGACGAAAGACAGACACAGCTGCATCACAAATGCTGTGTCCCAGCTAAGAAATTTATTTTTGTGGGTGTATGGATTAGTAATTCTGAAAGCGACTTTATATGTCTAAATGAATAGCTGAATATTGTGATGGAGAGTCATAGTTCTACACGCCAGAGCAAGAATAACCATAAAAGAGGAGGGGAGGAGCCTGAATCCTGTGATTTTATATTGGAGTGTGTGTGTGTGTATAAACTCATGTTCAGTAAGCATATATGGTCATATAATCATATATGAATGATACAGATATATGTGTGTATATATATATATATACTATATATACAGACATTTATTTCTGAGACCTGTTGGCAAAGAAGACTATGTTAGTCAGCTTCTCATTACTACAATAAAGTGCCAATTAATTTATAAAGAGGAAAGAATTACTTAACTCATAACTTTGGAGGTTATGAACGTTTCAGTCCAAGATCAAGTGGCCCAGTTACTTTGGGATTTTGGTGAGGATACTTAACAGGGAAAGCATGTAACAATAAAGTGCTCATATAACAAAAGAGAGAGAGAGAGAGAGAGAGAGAGAGAGAGAGAGAGAGAAGAGAATATGAGAGAATGAATATAAAGACCAGGGTCCCACAGTCATTTCAAAGTATATCTTCAGTGATTTAAAGCCCTGTGATGAGACCCCACCTCCTAGAGGTCTCAAGCACTTCCCCAATACCATTGCCCTGGGTACCAAACTTATGTAAACCTTAGGGAACATTACGCATCTTCAAACCTAGCAAGGACCTAGAAGCACTGAGGACACCCAACACCCAGAGATTGGTTCTACACAGTATTCCCTAGTGAAAGGTGCTAAAGATTCTTATAGAAATGACTAGTGCCAGGCCGGGCAGTGGTGGCGCATACCTTTAATCCCAGCACTTGGGAGGCAGAGGCAGGCGGATCTCTGGGAGTTCGAGGCCAGCCTGGTCTACAAGAGCTAGTTCCAGGACAGGCACCAAAGCTACAGAGAAACCCTGTCTCAAAAAACAAATCGAAACAAAAAAAAAAAAAAAAAGAAATTACTAGTGCCAGGGATGGAGTACCAGCTACACAGGACATGCCTGGAATATCTTGTGATGTCAGAAAGTAGGGCTATGCTAAAAAAAAAAAGTGACAGTGTGTGTCTAAGGGACACAAGAACCAAAAACCTGAAAGAACGTTTAGTGGTCAAATCTTAGAACAACTGAGAAAGAAAACTGAGAAAGATACCATTGGCTTGTAACATAAAGAATAACACAGATATCCCTTCTTATATATGGAGTTGAAAGAATGAATGGAGGAAGGAGGCAGAGGAGGGAGGAAGGAAAGAAGGAAGGAACTAGGCAAAGGAGGAGGTAATGGAAGATAAACTGGGGAACTGTCACAGACTGAGGGCCACAAAGGAAACCTAGGGTCGTAGCTCTCCTTGGTCGAGTTCTTCTAACACACATGGAGCTCTGAGCTCTGTCTCTGGTTCTGTGTGAACTGGTGTAGGAGCTCACACCTGTGGTCCTAGCATTTGGAGGTAGAGGAGGACCAGGAGTCCAAGGTTGTCCTCGGCTACATAGGGATTTTTGAGGCCAGCCTGGGCTTCATGACACTCTATCTCCCCAAATACAAAGAAAGAAGGCCCATGAGATGGCTCAGTGGGTAAAGGCTCTTGCCTCCAAGCCTGAGGACTGGACTCTGGTCCACGGGACCCACATGGTAGAAAGAGCAAACTTCTCCTTCAAGTTGTCCTCTGACTTCCATGAGGGTGCTATAGTATGTACCCCAATTCCCAGCCAATAAGTAAGTAAAAGGAAAACCAAAAACAAAAACCCTGAAAACCTGACCCCCCCCAAATGCTATTAGGGAAAAAAAAGCAGGAAAATGGAGACATTAAAGCCCTTCCTATAAACCGGCAGTCTCCACTCTGTAATTTTACCACACACTGTAAGATGTTACTATTCAGGAGAGCAGAAGAGAAAATAGAGAAACTATCATTTCTGCAAGTTTTCTCTAAGTCTAAAATGGTATCAAAAATAAACAAAAATGTCCAATTTCCCTAATATCTTCCAAAGGGACTAAGTTTTAAAACTGCTATTTTTATGTGCTGAAGAACTTAAATATATTTTGTTTCCATCCATTGCAGTTAAAATTCTCTTTGGACCACAGGAACATTCAGCATGGAGATTAAGCTCTTTTGACACTATCCTGGGAGCTTTCAATAGCTTTCTTGCTTTTGGACAAAGAAAGATCTCTATGCACTTCATGGGCCAGTCTGAAACCAGCCACCTCCCCAAGACTGTTGGCTGGTCCAGAGGGGTTAATTTTTACTGTCTGTCATTGATTCAGATCATTCTCTTTTCTTCTTCTTTTTTTTTTTTTTTTTTTTTTTTTTTTTTTTTTTTTTTTTTTTTTTTGAGACAGTGTTTATCTGTGTAACCCTGGCTGGCCTGGAACTCTTTATGAAGACCAGGCTGGTCTTGAACTCAAAAAGATCCTATCCCAGGCCTCCGCTTTCCAAGTGCTGAGATTAAAGGCATGTGCCACCACCCTACTCCCCTGCAGCTTGCAGTTTTAGAACATTTTCAGTGGCAGATCTAGAACATATTTTTATCTAGAAGGTAAAATACATTATTTATTTATTCAAATAACTATAGATTACGTTTAGAACTAATTATGTGGTCTTGCTGTCAATTCATTGATCTCATGTCTACACTTTCCTTCAGCATGTAAAACGTTTTGCTACTCATTGATATCATCACAATCACACATTTGATAAACATGCAACTAATATAGATAGTTAACCAGTTCCAATATTATCATCAATAATACAATTGCTGAAAAATATACACACACATTTAGATCTAGCTTGGTTGTTAAGATCATGTGTCAGTTGGGTACTCTGGTGGTAGAGGCAGAAGGATCACAAGGTTGAAGCTAGAACAAGACTACACAGAAAGACCCTGATTCAAAAGAAAATCCAAACAAAAAAAAAATAAAAAAGATACGTCACTACCCAAAATGGTTTCTGTTTGTAGTTGTGTCTCTAGCTAGATATACAAGTATATTCACTTCTGAGCAATTCACTTTTAAGGATATAGTCAGATTTTAATTTTGGTCTTTGACTATACAAAATAGTTCCACAAACAAATCTAGAAAGAATGATGTATTTAAGAAAACCTAGCTTCTATTTTATAATTCCAAACTTAACTTCCTCCTTTGCTTACATATGCCTTCTTAAAAATTATAAAGCTTGTCTTTACATTATGTTTAAATGTAAGCATGTATATTGCATGTTCAATCCAGAAGTAAGCGGTAAGAGATAGGGTAGGCTTTCTCCACTTCTTTTTTCCCCCCACGGAATATCCTAGAAGTCCCTTCATGGCAATGTGTAGCCATAGTCTTCATCCTTATGCCTTCATGGTTCTCTGTTAGTCTCATCTCTTACTGACTGGCATTTGGGTTGATTCTAGACTTTAATCTTGCTGAGAGTGTTAACACAGAGCCTTAGTAGAGGGCCACAAATGAGCAGGGTGGTTGCTGGGACCTCGGGGATTTTTTCACAAGGTCTCCTGCAGAGCCTAGAATGAGATTTTCATCTCACTGGCTCTGTAGCCATCAACGGATCCAGCTTCTTAGATCTAGGGGGTTAGAACTCCTTTGAAATTGTATTTTTCGTGGGTGTTAGCATGAGCGAATATTGCCCTGAAAAGTAGACAAGAAAGAAGGGACAATGGTTCTAGGCAACTACTTAAGACAAATGTGGTTGGACCCTCATACACTTGAATTTTGGGGAGGAGGGGCCCAGTCTACGGTATCCCTCCTTTTTGTAGCCTCGTGTCTATGCTCTGGTAGGGATTATTGATGTCTTTAGGACGTCACACATGTTACTTCTTTTTGTATCACAACCAAATCATTTGGTCCCACGGCTTTCTTCGGCTCTGATGCCGTGGTGTGCCTTGTGGGAGTCAAGCTGTTGTTTTGGTTTTCACCCTCTTCCCTGCCTTGGCTTCTTTTGGTTTCTGTGGTCTTTGCTGTCCCTTAATGCCCATGAGTTAAAGTGTGTTTTCCTGGCTTTCCTTGGGGAAAGACTTCAGAGACTTCTAGGAAAGCCATGAATTCACTCTATTTTTAGGAATACACATTCCTACCTATATGCAAAACTGTGCAGATGATTTCATGGACAGCCCTCCACGTACACCCTGGACTTCCTCTTCTGGGGCCTTCACTTGTCATCCAGTCACCAGCGAGTTCCAAATCCATATCTTGAGCCCAGACCTCTGTCCTGATCTCCAGCCTCCAGGACATCTCCCTGGTGACCTTGAATCTGTAGTTGAGGCCGTCCTTTCTTTCTCCTACCCCCATGGCCACTTTCTTGCCTATGCTCAGTGACTGACTATGCCACAGCCCAGGCAACTGCACCAGTCAGTGACTGTTCCTCATGGCACTGCCGCAGCCTTAATTCAGGCTGTTATTACCCTTCGCCTGTGTTACTATCTTCTACTTCTAGAACCAACCAATCTCCCCTGCCCCCTGCCCCAGGCTCCAGGCTCAAGCCAGGGAAGAGACTTTTCTTAACATCTACATTTAAATCCTGAAGGAGTTGTGGGATACAATGGATGTTACTACCCAGTACAACTGTTGCCCATTGCACAGATGGGAAGAGTGGGATTCCAGTCTACGTGTAATACTGATTAGGTCATTGCCATGGGGTGGGAGTTAGAGAAATGAGAGTAGAGGAGTAAGTGGGAGGGGGGAGCCACTGCCCGCGAGTAACTGCATCTCTCTACTCCCCACTTTCCCTCTTTTGTATCTGCCAGGACCAGCTACTCTTCTGCGATGACTGTGACCGTGGTTATCACATGTACTGTTTAAATCCCCCCGTGGCTGAGCCCCCAGAAGGTAAGGACAATGAACTCCACAGTAGCAACCACAGCAGCTGCCACACCCACCTCTCATTGACCCCTCACTCTGGTGAAGGCCTTGTGCTAAGGGATGTCCAGGCTTTGTCTCAGTTAACCACCACGGCCCTATGAGGTTAGGTAGGACCACTCACAGATGACACATGAGGAAACTGAGGCCTAGCGCAGACAGATGGTGTTTCGGCTGATGGGTCAAGGAGATGTTTCTCAGGTGTGTGGCTGCAACTGTGGGGAGGTATGAGTTTCCAAGGGAACTGGAACAGGTGTGCCAAGGCTGGCTAAGAGGCGTGACAGGGGGTGGGGCTCTTTACATAGTTCCCCTGTTACCTCTGAGCACCTTCACATCTTCACACATTGAATTATGGAAGTCATAGGCAAATAGGAGTTAGCAGCTATTAAAGCCATTACTAGGGCCCAAGAGTTAGGAGAAGGGCTGCTACTAAAGCTGTGTTGTCTCTCATAGGAAGCTGGAGCTGCCATTTATGCTGGGAGCTGCTCAAAGAGAAAGCCTCAGCCTTTGGCTGCCAGGCCTAGGGCCTCAGGTCACAGAATGTGACATGCCGCCAGAGAGGCTGACCTGGAGCCCTGTTCTATCCAGATGGAGCTCTCCTCCTGCACATCCACACAGACCAACTGTAAGGAAAACAAGTAGTTACAGAAGGACATGGACGCGCGGAACCAGGAGGGCAAGGTCTCGACTCGCCTACTGCCCTGCCTACGCCCGCCCTCCAGCCCCATGCGTGGTATCCAGCCAGTCCTTCCTCATTTCTACCAGAGGGAGCTTGCACTTCTGAAGAACAGTTCAGCCCCAGCCCTGCGGAACTTTCCTCACGTTCACCTCACAGTGTATCCCTCTCATGGCTTCCCATTTTAGAGGAAGCCATTTTGTGACTGCTCACAAGCACTTGTGTTTTGATGGTGTTCTTTCTTTTTTAAGTCTCTTGTGTTTAAAGATCCCTTCACACAGCCTCTTCACCTTCAGCTTAGGCTCGTCATCCTAAACTCTCACGGAGGAACAAAACACTGTGGAAAAGTTATTAGTTATTACGCGCTTCACCGGAAATGTCTGCGTTTGGAGGCCATCTTGAAGACGGAACTTGGAAACCTTTCGGTAAAGAAGTAGTTTTTCAAACCTCAGCAGTGGCTTCCACAGCTGGGATGGTCTTGATCCACTGAACCACCGCTTGATGAGGGGTTGAGAGGGTCCAAGAGATGGGAGGAAAAAACGGGGACCCAGGCATAACCAGTTTGTATTTGCTGTTCAACAAGAGAAGCTTTGCAGCAGACCCAGGGGTTCCTTGACCTTCACAACTGCGGTGTCCTTGAGATGAGACAAACCACAGCCTACAAATACAGGAAAGTGCTGAAGATTCCCAGTGCCTCCCGACTGAGTTGAGTGTCAAGGCCTGGTTCAGTTTCCGCTGGTGGGAGTCAAGCATCAGCGAAGCGGGCAAAGGCTGCCTGTTCAATGGTCCAATGTTGGATAAGAGAGAGTGTAGCTTTGAGAAACCCTTCAGTGTTAATGCTACACTGTCAATTCCTTTCCCGGGCAATTTCTTCCTTCCATGTAGTATATGTTTGCCAGTGACTACTGAGATGTGACTGAGAATTTTAGAATGGCGGAGAGATGATCATTGCTTAACTAGATCATTGAGCATGGTGATTGCTTGTGACCTGGTGGCGGTGATTCAGAGCCCTCGTCTGCTCTTGTAGTTGAAGCTCCCCCGTGTGAGCCGGACCCCTGTTTGAAATAAGAAAGTTTCTAGAGAAAGAGGTGATGAGGCCTCGATTCCGAGAACTCTGTGTGCCCTGTGTGCCGGGAGACAGCCTTGTGGGCTGCAGTGGGGGTGGGCTGTCTTCGGATCACGTCAACAGCTTGGTAACTGACACATTTCTGGAAAAATCATTTGCCCAAAGGGCAGGTCTCAGTGAGCAGGACCCTCGCGCATGCTCGGCTTCCCTGAAATCAGTTCCATCGCTGTGGTCCAGCAGCTTTGTAACAAAGGCCTGGGTTATTTTTAGTCTTCGGCTCCTGAAGAAGCCCCTGGAGACCTGGGCTAGTTGGGCCACTCTGCCCAGATGCGGCATTGCCTCTGCCACTCCACAGGACTCGGCCTCCCCCTGGCTAATTGCTCTTGGCACATGGACCCGGGGCAGCCTGGCATGGATCCAAGCAGTGTGCTCCCCTGCCCCCAACTCCTTTGCAGAGTGACCTGTGGCAAGAGAGTGGGGGTCTCCTGCAGGCCCTGTGGCCTCCGAGCTGGTTACATGCATACATAATGATCTCACTTAAAGGGCCCTTGTCCAGACTGCAGTTCTGCCTTCCTCACAGGCTCTCTTCTTCCTCCTGCTGGTTGCTGAGCCTGCGTAGATTCTAAAGGCCCAGGGAAGGGTTGGAGGGGGGGTCATCTCCACAGAGTACCACATCCCCTCTTCGGACTCTGCAGGCTCGCTCTCTCTTCCCCCATACCTAAAGCAGGGTATCCTCAAAGGCTACTTACTTGGTTGAGGATTCATTTTAAATTAATTTTAGGGGGGAAAAAGGCCCAAATGTTCTGGAATGCTACACTGGCTTAAAGGTGGAAAAAAACCAAGTCTAAAACCCCAAACTGTGGTTCTGAGACTTGACAGGTCACCTTCTGGAGTGTGCATGAGTCTGTTCCCTACAGAAAGGCGGATGGGGGAGGCTTTCTGTTCTATATCCAGTCATGCTTGCTCTGCCCATCCAAGCTAAGGAGGAACAGGCCTCCCTAGCCAAGCCAAGGCACCAATGGGAGCTGGGGGAGCCTGCCCACAGGGCTGGACTGGCTGAGCTCTGGGTTGCATAAGGAAGGTTCCTGGGGTCCTGCAGAATGGGCTTAGCCATTCTGCTTTGGAGGTTTTGGTTTGGTTCCCCACGGAGGAAGTGGGGAAAGCAGATCAACTTGTGAGGTGCCCTGTCAGGGTGCGACAGACTAGGTCTCCAGAGCCACCTCCTGTGTCAGAAGAAGAAGGCACTAGTAAAGTAAAACAGGGACCCGCTTTCTCCATGTGCGGGAGTGAGCGGTGGTCACTGGTTCATGGTTCTAATGTCCCTTTTACCCTAGCAGTGTGTGGCCTTGGACAAATCACTTAGCATCCTCAAATCTTGATTTGCCCCTCTGTAAAATGGAACTGCTGACACTTTCCTTTTCTTTTCCACACTGACACTGGGGAGGGCCCCCCCAAAGTATAGTGTTGTATAAACAACCATCACCAGGGCCCAGCTTGCCTTGTGGGAACTCCAAATGCTTTCTGACTCCACCTTCTTGTGAATGCTAGCCAAAGCTAGACGCCCTCTTGGAAACTCCCGCTTGATGGAAGAGGCTTCCTCGTCAAGGGCCAGGTTGTCTGTGGTCAGGGCTCCTAAGCCAGGGCTGTGGCCATGGAGACCATGGTTGGGCATGGGTGGTAATGGGAGGTGCTCAGGGGCTGGGGACTTGAGGATGAAGATACCATAAATGCATGTGCATGAAGACAGACAGACAGAAGCATACATACACGCATGCACACACGTACACACACACACACAGCATCAGCATGAGTAACCACTTGGAATGGGAGTTGACTTCTGTGGAGGGCACTGTGTTCTTGTTCAAATGTAGCATCACTTTCAAGCTGGTTAACTCTGGTCAAGTGACTTTGCCCCTCTGAGCCTTGCTGCCCACATGTGTGAGGTAGAGAAATACGGCCTGTTTAGAGATCTAGCCTGGAATATTAGAGTAATGCTGATCTTGGAGTATGTCTTGCTAAAAAGAGGGCCTCCTGCCTATGGTAGCCACTGTCATTTTGTGCAGAGGTCACACTAAGAGAAAAGAATGATGCGGTTGAACACCCCTCAAATCCCCCAGCAGGGTTACTGTGTTCTAATACAGCCTTCGAGCCTCATATGGTGACTGAAGTAGCCCTGCTGGAAAATCAACTCTCATTTCCTCTTCAACACTTTGGAGACCCTGCATTTGGGGCCTGCAGCAAATACAGGACAGGTAACCCGGTAAGGAAACGGGAATGATGCTCCTGACAGGGAACTGACATTCCTGTCACCCTTCTCAGCCCCTCCTGAGGCAGAAGCCAGCAGGTCCCAAGATGCTGCTGTATGGCTTTGCCTCTGGGCCAGATAGGAAGCAGAGGCCGACCTGTGGATAACTGAGTAGGGGAGAGAGAGAGAGAGAGAGAGAGAGAGAGAGAGAGAGAGAGAGAGAGAGAGAGAGAGAGAGAGAGAGAGAGAGAGTCAAAGGAGGCTTAGCAGTGTCTGGGGAAGGAGGGTCTGGGTACCACTCTGGGTATATTTAGTCTTCAAGAACAGTTCCTTCCAGCCCTCCTATTTAAAAGTCCAGGTGCTTCAAAGAAGAAAAACGATCGTTATTACGTTTCAAGTTCAGGAATCCTATGCAGTTGTCGTGGGTGGAAGAAAGATCACCCGCAGCTAGGCTGCAGTGGGCTTGGAAGAGGGTGGTAGTTTCCTCTCCCAGCCCACAGGTGCAAGGCAGCCACGCTTGGCGCTGGTCCAGGCAGGGTCCTGAAGACGCTTGCATGCCCTCTGCCTCTGGGTTTGGAAATGCTGAGGTGAGAAATCTCTCCCCTCCTCCTCACTAATGTCCATCCTTAGTCCCCCTTAGGGAATTCCAAAGTCATGGTCCAAGGGTCCAAGGCTATGGCTCCTAGGCCATAGCCACGCCCACATGGCCACTGCAAGTGTTTGAGTCCCTGGCTGGCTGCTGGCAGGACCAGTATACTGGTGACTGGTGTCCCTTTAGAAGGGCAGCATTCCTGAGCTGGTGTGGGGGATGGGGGGAGTCAGGGGTTAGTGAGAAAATCAGGCAAAACCTAACAAAGAGAAGAGAGGGGAAGGATCCTTGAGTGAGGGTGAGAGCCCCCAAAGGGAGCTGTTGGGGTTGTAAGCAGAGGGCCAGGGGGAGTGAAAAGTTACCTTAATAGCCTTTTTCCTCAGTCCTGTGGTCCTGGAAAACAAAACTGTCTGAAAAAAGAAACAAAAGCCGAACCTTTACCTGTCTGTGAACATTGAGCTGGCTTTCCTTCCTCTGGGCTCCTGGACTCTGGATCAGTGTTGGTAAAGGGGGACTATCTGAGGGCCAGGAGGATGCTGGGCTCCCTGGGCTCTGGATCAGTGTTGGTAAAGGGGGACTATCTGAGGGCAAGGAGGATGAGACCAGTGCCCCTCACCCAGTGGAAGTAGGAAGGACCCCACCCCCAGGCTCTGACCTGAGTCCGCATGGATTTTTCCCACTCCCACAGATGAGTGTCCTTATATCTGGACATAAGTTACTGAGGCCCCTGTGGTCTAGATTGGCTAGGGGCAGGTGACAGATGGCAGCAGAGTGAGCTTGATCCTGTACTGCAGCCTTGGGCGTGGGAGCAGTTTTGGGCATTGCTGCCGCAATGCTTAGACCTATAGGCCCTGACTCTAGCAGCTGGAGAGAGAGGCAGGGGGGCCTGGTCAGCCCTTTCCCCACCACCTGGCTGCTCAGACAAGGTTCCCTGTTCCTCGCTGTCTGCTGCCCACTTGGACCGTTCCAGGAGCTCAACTTTATCTGTCACGGCTGAGGAAGGGGAGGATCTCATAGTTTTTATTTGCCCCAAGTCCACAAGTCTCCCCACTGCCACCCCAACTGCACCGAATCTAATTTATGAGCAATCAGAAAGGCCTTGGGAGACCGTCTGTGAGTTAGCCTTTCCCCAGCATTCTCAGGACTTGGGGCCTTTTCGATCCTTTCCGAGGTCACAATTTTCGGGCTTGAGTGTGGGAACAGCAGGATGGATGGGTTGGCTCGGGGTCTTTGAGAGCTGGAAACGTCTTTCTAATGATGCTGGAGACCCTCTGGTTTTCGGAGGGACGGTGGGGTAGGGAGATGGGGAAATTTGCAAATTTGTGGTGGGTCAGAGGGAAGGGAGAGAGGAGGATGTGGGAAGATGAAAGACTGGGCTCTTCCAGCATCACAACAGTTGCTCCTGGGAAGGTTCGGCTGTTGGCCTGTTCAAACCGGACTGTGAGAGAGAGGAAGCAACTTCAGGAAGCCCTGAAGTCGGGGAGGGAGGCTCCTGTTTTGCCATTTCTACATCAAAACCATCTCTCAGAAGAGACAGAAACTCTCCCCTGTGAGGAGAAAAACTGGAAGTCCAGAGTGAGGTGTCTTAGATTCCTCTGGGTTCTGAGTGAGCCCTGGCTATGCCCTCCTGACTGAAAGTGATCGATCCTCAAGGTCTGTGAAGCTGTGAGAGCCAGGGGGTGCAGGGATGCACTGTTGGAGCCTCAGGTGGAGGGGCCAGCAGCCTTAAACAAGGAACACTCCATAACATCCCCATATCTGGCCTCCCCAGGAACAGGAGCATTTGTGCTGATGGTGGCATTTCCCAGGGCAGGGCAAAGGAAGGCGGCACTGGGCTGGCAGGCAGCCAGAAGCCTCTTCCATAGAGATACAATTACTAATAATGACCTCTAGCCTAGAAGCGAATAAGATGGCCATTCAGGTTGGCACCAACTGGGTCTGGCAAATCTACAAACCTGGGGCTGGGAAGAGACATTGTAGGAAATAGAGCCCGTGAGGCCCTGGGGCCTTCGTATTCCCTCAGCAGACAACTCTGAGAAGCCCCAGCTTATATTTCCACTCAGTTCATCTTAGCTTCCCTTTTTTCATCTCTATTGTTGTGTTACGATTATTAATATTGATAACGAGAGCAGGTGTGTGTGTGTGTGTGTGTGTGTGTGTGTGTGTGTGTGCTGGCCTGAAGAAAGCCATTGGTATTGGTCCAAGAGCAGTAGGAGGGGCAGGAGCAACCAAGCAAGATGTATCTTAACTGTCCCTGAAGTTTGCTACAGCCAGAGACTCCAGTGCAGTCTAGATCACCACCAGGTTCCCACGGTGGAACTCTCCTGGCCCTTCCCATCTTTCCCAGCCCTCACCTCTGCCCATCTGGGAGAAGTACTGAGGATTTGACAAAAAGAAAAAGCCTCCATTTATGTAATCAACATGGAGCAAAGACTTTCTGGCTGGAATTAGGCCTGGGTCTTTGTTGACTTGGTTTGCTCTTTCGCGGTTACTCCCCGGGGTGTCCTTCAGGGTGTCTCTCCCTCTCCCACCTCCTCCCTTCATTGCACCTCGCCCTGCCTTCCCCCTGCCCTTGCAAAGGCTAAAGAGTGCAGTGGTGGCTGGAAGAAACTGTGACATAAAAGAAAAATATACCCCTGTGCATTTTCAACACGCAGTTGAAGAAGGCTAAATTAAGGACTGGCAGAGGGGGTGGGGGTGGGGCACGGAGGGGAAGCAGAAGAAACGTGGCCAGATAATATCTGAGTGAAACATGAAAACAGAATCTTGGGGGGGGGGGCAGAGACGACGTGGAGCAGGTGGGCTGGGTGGGCAGGGGGCCCCAGCTTGCCAGTGTGTCAGGTCCATGTGGCATCTGGGGAAGCAGACAAATGGTGCTTTTGCAATAAGTGGTCAAGGGCTGAGGAGCGTTTGTGCTCCTCCCAGGCAGGGGAAGGGATGGCCAGCCTAACTGCCACTGTGTATCTGCCATGCTTGTCCACCCTGGTTACTTTTATCCCCCGGAAGGCAGATGAACACATCTCTTGCCTGCCAAGAGCGAGTGCTGGGCAAGCTGGTACCGGCTGAAGCACTTGGCAGGGGACTGAATATGCGCAAAGCAGTGGACTTGGTCTGCAGGGGCTGGAAAACCAACCTCACCCTGGCCCAGCCTTTGGGTTGCATTATCCGCTGTAAACTATCCTGCCACCAAGAAAGGGTTGGTTATCTGCATGTTCATTTCTGTTTTGGAGAGGTATTCATATGATGAGCAGGTAGAAACATCTAGTTACTTCCACTTTCTAGAAGTTGGGGAGAATATGATCCCAGCTTCCTTGCTCTGATTTGTTATCCCGAGCACTAGCTGCCCTAGAAGATCCGTATCCTCAGCTCGGAGATGCCGTGGAAGGTGTTCATCTTTAGCATCAGAGTCAGGGAGACGAGGAACGGGGGTCCCTGACTGAAGAGTGTCAGGCAGCGAGGTAATTTGAGGTTCTCTCTGTGAAACGCTGTTTTTGGCTTTCTGGAGTGGAGGTCAGGGAGGTGTAATTGGCAGGGTATGATCAGGAGTGACAATTAACCGGACCGAGAAAGTGGGAGTCTTGTGCCTGCACTGAGTGGACACAGCTGAAACCCTGCAGGCTGGGCTCAGCCTCCAGGAGACAGCTTCTGTCATGGTCTCCTCATGGTCTCGCTGGCATAGGTGGATGCACCTAGCAGCAGGCACTTTCAGCAACCTCCCCTGGCCGGAGAGAGGCTCTTCACATTTTAGCCCAGGCTTCATTGACTCCAGCTTGTTGATATTGATGGCGATGGGGACAAACAATTTCTTTTATCTCCCGTCTCTCTGCCCAGGCCACAAGCAGGCTTTAGCTTTTCGATGTCCCCCAAAGAAGTCGTACCAGGTTTGTTTGCCAAATAAATGCTCACCTTGGGGGAGGCCTGTTCACAAGCAACCTTTGGTTTATCCGCTGATCTGGATCCCTGGAACACACAGTTTTTGGAAGGCAGGATTGTGGGCTCTCTAGGGACAGCCAGAATGAAGCTTGGCTACGAGTCTGGTTTTAAAGTACTAGAGAACAAGAAACACATCCTAGAGTTGGAGCCGTTTGGAAGCTGTCAGGCAGGGTTTTCTTTTTGGCCCAGATCCCCTTTGAATAGTTATTCATCCCTGTCCCCCACACCCCCATCTTAGTGGTAATATAGTATGGAAGAAAAAGGGGAGGCCACTCACCTGGATCCTGTCCAAGGCAGACCGGTGGCACTGCCCCTCAGGCAGCTGGTATTAGACTATGAGCTTCCTGTCTCTGAATTCAAAATGGATCTGGGACCCCCAGAGCCAGTGGGCCGGGATCTGAGAGGAGCCCCTCTCCTCACTTCTACGCCAGTGTTCCCAAACCCCTTCCTATCCTCAGACTGGCCGGCTGGGCAGTTAGCAAATGCAGATCTGAGGGGTGACTGGCCTGTGCATGTCACAGCCCATCTGAGAAGGGGCCAGAAGTAAGTCCTAACCAGTGTCCCCTCCCTGCCCTACATGTGTTTAGACTGAGGACAACCTTAAAGCCCACTTTCAAATAGCTCTTTATCCCTGGTAGCCAAGATGTGGAAGCTCTCCACAGGAAGATACAGGAAATTGGTTTTCTTCTTCTAGTTGGCTAATCTCTGCTGTGACTCCCATCAGGGAGAGGCTGGCTTGGTGGTGTTGGTAGAGGCCACCACTGCTGATTAAACCTGGGGTTTTCCTGAGTGAGCTTGGGTAGGAGGTCCCTGGGGTGGGAAGACTTTGAGAGAAAGATGTCCTGTGAGGAATCTCATGACGACATTGGCTTCCAGAGGGGAATGGAGGTCTTGGGCTAAGTCAGGAACGTGAGGCATTAGGGAAGAAGCTGGTTTAGTCTTCGTGGCTCTGTTAGTATCTGAGCTGACTCCAGATGTCTTGCAGCCTTGGGGATTACCACCCTGGACTGCTTTGGGCTGAATTTGGTAAAAGGCCCCTGGTCCCTGGTGATGTTCTAATGACCTCAGAGATCATGGCGTTTCCATTGGTACCTATTGGCCCAGGGAGGTGTGATGCAAACTTGGTCCAGATGCCATCCCAGCACGTTATCCTCAGTGATGTCACAAGCTTGCTTGTCTCCTGCTCGCCACTCCCTCAGCTCCTTGAGGATCTTCATCAGACAAGGATGGCCAAGAGCTTCGGCCTCCATCACTGGACATCTCTGCAAATGAAGATCTTCCTTTTATGCCTTTGAACATTTCCCCCCATCGGACCTTAGGACCCAGCACCAAGCTGCCTCTTGCTGACTGAGCAACCTAGAGTTTTTGCCTTGAGCCGCTTAGCTACAGTACACAGGATGTAGGCTGACACAGCTTTCGCGAGGTTACAGAAAAGGGCTGCAGAATCTGGAAGCTGTGTGTAATGGGCCGAAGATGAATCTCCATCCGCCTTGCTTTGCTGCTCTGAGAAGCAAGCACAGCAACAAACAAATCCAGCCAGCCCCAGCTCTGCTGCCTCCCTCCGCTTTCAGGTGGGCTGGGATTGCATATGTATAGTTGTGTGTGCCACTGTCCTTCCATCTTCTGGGGATGCTTTTTTTTTTCCTCCCACGTGTCAAGTCCTGGTCTTGTGACTCCCACTGTGAAAGGTGCTGTTCTGTCCCCACCCTGTCTAAGGGACGCATGGGATCTTTTGGGATTTCAGTATTGGAGAAGGAGGCTGTGCATATCTTCCCTTACCCCAAGGGGACACACTGGTTCTGACTCCCTAAAGAGTTGGCACATTGCAAGGATCTCCAAGAGAATCTGAAGGTTAGCAATAGCCCATATCTGGATTTCACCTCCCTGACTGGGGCTTGCCTAGGAAGTTGGCTGTCTGGAAGGACTGCTTATGTTCCAGGGCCCTCCCACACCCTGCCTTTCCTCCTGCCCTGACTCAGTTTCTATTCCAGGAGGGAGGCCCTGGAGATGTCAGAACCTGAGCAAATGATGAGGCATATGAGTATCTAGCAGCCTTTACCTCAGAACCACTGGATACCCCAACCCCTCAGAGGGACCCCCCCAACCTCGGCACGTTGATAAAGACTGAGCCACAGCCCCCTGTTTCTCCCTGCTGTGGTTAGTATCTTGTTTTGTGACTGATTAGCAGTGTTGACTATCCATGTAGCAAACCTTTTGTCTGCGATTTAGAGAATGTGAAAACAAATAAAAGCTTTAGAACTCTCAGAAACTCTGGGTTATTTTTTTTTCATCTTTAAC